ACGTTCCTTCCACTTAAAGGAACTTAGTGGAAAGTTGAATCTGAGACCATGACTTAACTTCATGATGATTTTGTTTTTTTTAAGACCATCTGGATGTTGGCTGGCCAAACTTGTATTTTATGTTATGTAGGGTACCTGCTTTCAGCAAAGATTTCAGTTAAATCTGTTTATATTTTTGCACTTTAAATCTAATTTATTCTATTAGTTTAACTTCAGTTTTCCCCACCAGAGGGTGTTCTGGATGTATAGAGTGATAGGAGGAACAGGGGTGGTAAAGTGTCTCCATAAGGCCAATTGGCTTGAATTTTCTTTAGAAAAGTTTAAATCTTCACAGGGCATAAGAATGCTTTTAAAAACAACAACAACAAAAAAAGATAAATAATTCTAAAATAAATAGAAATGGATAGTTTTCAGCAGAGTCAATTTTCATACTGACTACATTTTATTTCCATGAATAAATACAGTAATTAAGGAAGGGCTTGAGGACTATGTGATAGCATATTAAATTACTAAAGTAATAAAACCAAAAATCTCCTGTTACTTCATGTTCTCCTTCCTCACCTCCTTTTGTAATCCAAGGTTTCTGTCAAGATTCATCTCAAGCAGCACTTTCTTTGTCGGTCTTTCCTTGGCCTCCTCCATCCCCAAGGTTACCTTGTATTTGCATGTGTTTTGTATAGACTTTTATCTGTGTACATGTTTCTCCATTCCAGTGTAAGCTCTTTGAGAGCATAGGCGATTATATTTTTACCTCATAATTAATAGTTTGTGGAATGAATATTAATGTAGAATGCTTTAACTCTGAAGTATTACTCTTAGAAGAAGGAGATCAGCGTGGAATGAAGTGGTAAAAAAAGCCTCGTATAGAAGGGAGTCACAAGTGAGATTTGACATTTCTAGCTCCATGTGTGCTGGGCCCTGTGTTCAGCGTTAGGAATACCAAGACAAGAGTGAAATAGTCCCCGCTCTTCAGAAGATTACATTCTGATGGGAGAAATAAAGGCTAATATTTAAGAATAGAGAGGATACAAACAAGGAAGGAAGGCCCTAGGAACTGTGGGAAGCGATGATGTACAGGGAGGGCTTCAGGTCAGATGTGGTGGTTGTGCTGAGTAGTCGAGGAAACCCAGGATTCTGAGAGGGACACATCAGCGGAGAGTTACATGCCTGGGTAGCAGCCAGTGCAGAGGCATAAGGCTGGAGACAGTGTCAGACATGGGAGACAGTAAGACTAAGCAGACCAGTATGTCTGGATGGTATAGTGCGTGGAGGAAGAGTAATACTGTGTAAGAAGACTGGAGAGGTCAAAAGGGCCCAGTTGTAAAGAGCTTTAAATGCCGAGTAAAGACATTTATATTTGACGCCAGAGATAACAGGGAGCCACTGGAATTTATTTTGTAGGGAATGACATGGTTAAGGAAAAATCCCTTTGATTTTTATGTTACATGTTGTATGGAGAATAGTTTAGAGTGGGGAGGGCTTTAAGTTAATGAGACCAAATATGAGGATATTATAATTGTTTAGGTAAGAAAGGATAAGAATCGGATTCAGAGTGGTGGGTTTATGACTGAAGAGAAGGGGATCTGTGTGAGAAAATTTTTGTGGGGATAGAAATGACAAACTTTGGTAACTGGTTGAATATATAGAGTGAGAAGGTGAGGGTGACACTAAGGAAGTGAACCTCTTTGACTGTAAGAATGGTGGTAGTGAAGGGAGAGATACTGAATTCTGTTTTAGAGATGTTGAGTGGCAATGTCTATGGACGTGCAGTTTGGCAGTTAAGTATTTGGATCTCCACGAGGATCATGAGAGAAACTAGCCACTAGCCTCAAGGCCACATGGCCCTCTGGGTTATCAAGTGTGGGCCTTTAACTGAATCCAAACTTCGTGGAATAAATCTCCTTAATAAAAGATCTGTAGATCTGAGAGTTAGCTACATAGCAATGCTAATTGAACCCTTGTCAGCTAGTGGTGTCACCAGATGTGAGAGTGCAAAGAAAAGAGGGTTCCAGAGCAGAGCAGTGGGCATGACATGAATGATGAGTTAGTGAGGTGCGACTGACAACTAGTGGTTAGATAAATAACCAGGAGATAAACAGGAGAGAGCACTAGCACAAAAACCCAGAAAAGAGTCCAGGAGAGAAGGGAGCATTGATAGTGTCAAAAGACAGAGTGAGGTCTAGAAGGATGAAACTTGAGCAAAGGTCATTAGAACTGACAATTAAAAAGAGCAAGATCAGTTGAATGATGAGATTGGAAGCCAAGATACAAGAAGGTTTAGAAGAAAGTGAGAGGAGAAGAAGAAGAAGAAGAAACACCAAGTGTAGATTTTTTTTTTCAAGAAGTTTGGCCGAGAAACGGATGAGAGTTTTGGGATTTTAGGTAGTAATGATGATGGCTTCTTAGTGAGAGTTTTTTGGTTTTTTGTGTTTTGTGGTTTGTTTGTTAGTTTGTATAGGCAGCAGAGAATGGAGCCAGTTCATAGGGAGAAGTTGAAGGTTTTAGAGAAAAGAGATGATCGTAGGGACAGTCTTCTGGATACAGAGGGAGGAGATAGGAGATTGGGTGGCCATGGCAAGGAGAGTTGACTAAAGATGAGAATGGTATCTTAACCAGAGACTAGATTAAAGTTAGAAATGGTAAGGGATGATGGCATGGAATTGTGAGATTGTCTTGCTGTACTAAAGGCCCAGTTGCATTTAGATAAATTTGGAGTGTAGCTGGTATTCGAAGTTGTGTTTTTCCCCAGCTCCATTTAGTAGCACTTAATAGTTGCACAGGAGGCAGATGGTGAGAATAATCCATGTTTCGAATCTGGAAAGAAATGAGTGGGATAGGACAAAGGGTGTGAAAGGTCCAAGACTAAAGGAGAGTGTGGAATTGAACCAGTTCACTAAGGGGTGGACGTTGGGAAGAAAATAAAGTGAAGTCAGAGACTAGGGGTAATAATCCTGAGAAAGTACTGATGAATTGTGGAATTGGAGGCAGCAGTGATAGGAAAGTAGAGATTGAGGAAGGGTAAGGCATTGGGAAAATTGGAATGAAAATGGTGAACAGATAGAGAACCATCTTGAGTTTTTATTCAGGAAATGAAAAACATAGGTGACAGTGAGAAGCAGGATGTATCCATGCCAGTGCATGGTATAGTAGGAGAAGAGATGATGGATTTGAAGAGATCAAGGAACTGGGAAGTTAGGGTATTTGAGAGAGTATCAACATTAATGAAGTCCACTAATGTAAGGCCAGGAATTGGGTGGGAGAGGAAGACTTTGAGACAGAAACTGAACACTTTGAGAAAGGAGGTAGCCTGAGGGCTGGTGGACAGTAACTACAATAATCTGTGTAGGTTTGAAAGATTTATTAGTGTGAACTTCACAGAAGGAGAGATTGCTGAGTAGAGGCAAAGGGAGAGTGAAACTGGGGATCAAGAAGTATTCTGTAAAACTAATATGTTAAAGAGTGTGAGAGAAAGTACAGCCATTGCTAGAGAGGATAGTGAGGGACAAAGTATTGTCTTGCAGTGGAGCCCAGAGCTCATTGAGAGAAAATTGATGGGAGGATTATCCAAGGCAAAGCTCCAGAATGAAAAGAAGATTTTCTGTATGGATCTGAGATTGCAGAGGATGCAGTGAAAGGGTGGGCAAAATTAAGAGTTGAATGGGAAGAGGAAGACAAAATGAGAGGTGGGGGTTGGAGTTAGTTTTCCAGGTAACTGGTGATTAATATGGTGAGGGATAGGTAGAATAACCAAGTGGTGAGAGCTTGCTGGGCATGTTGGAGGCAGTGAGTATCAGACAAATGATGAACCAGTATTTTCAGCTTCTGGACCCTCCAACTCTCAGCCTTCCTTTTAAGAATGACAGCCTTTGGCCAAGGATCATGTATTTCATCCAGATTCCTTAGCTACTGATCTCTGACTTTTACTCCAAGTGATTATCATCAGAAGACTCCATACATCTGACCAGAACACGGCCTGTGTGAAAGCAACATCAGTGTCTGAGAGAGTCACTGGTTTTGGGAAATTACATACAATGTCTTACATTTCAGAAATTTTGAAAAGACCTGTTGTGATTTACCGTAAAAGTGCCCATTTTGATAATAAAGTGATAATTAGCAATTTCTTCAATCATTTTTGAGTGGAGGCAGCTTTGTGGTGTAGTAGGTAGGCTGCTGGATGTGGATTCAGGAACACCTGAGTTCAAATGCTACTTCAGACACCTGCTAGCCCTATGACTTTGGGCAATTTCTCTTAGTCTCAGTTTTGTTGTTAAGTCATTTTTCAGTTGTGTCTGACTCTTCCATTTGGAGTTTTCTTGGCAGAGATACTGGAGTACTTTCCATTTCCTTCTCCAGCTCATTTTACAGATGATGAAACTGAGGCAAACAGAGTGAAGTGATTTGTCCAGGGTCACACAGCTAGTAAGTGTCTGAGGCCAGATTTGAACTCAGGAAGATGAGTGTTTCTGACATTCTATCTACTGCGTCACCTCGCTGCCCAGTCTTTCCTCCTCTGTAAAGGGGGAGGACAAGGCTAGCACCTACCTTATAGGCTTGTTGTGAGAATCAAAGGTGGTAACTTGTACAGAGTTTTACAAACCTTAGAGAACTATATAAATGCTAACTAATTATAAAGTATAACATTTGAATGTTCGATCTTTGTGCAAGGCTAAAATCATGTAAAAATAAACTCAGAATATTTTAACTTTGTGTGACAGAACTTAATAAACATAATCTCATTTGATTGGGTAGAAAATGGGGGAATACCCCATTTACACAAACAGAAAAGGCACACAGAGGCTAAGTGCAAAGTTAGATGGATCTCCAGGTCTTCTGGCTCTAAGTCTGAGAGTCTTCCCACTTTCTGATGGCAATAGGGCCATGAAGAATAATATGATTTGGCCACTTTTTCTTATTTAGAAACTATTTCCGATTTTAGTCTCTTAGTGATGATAATTTGTTAATCAGTAGCTAATGTCCTTGATACATTCTGTTTTGTGCAGCTCTGACAGATTGGTGCTGTTGGCAGGAAGTAACCTGGAAGTCAGTGACCTCACGGAGGAGGATGCGGGAACCTATGCCTGCATAGCTGACAACGGCAATGAGACAATAGAGGCCCATGCAGATCTCACAGTTCAAGGTACACACGTGTTTGTTTTATGAAACAAAAAGAATGCACCCTGTCAACTCACATGTTTTGGTGTCCCTTAAAAAGGGAAGTAGTGAGGAGCCATGCATGCTTTTTGGATAAAGTCAAGTCTCCAGATGGCCTGTTCATTCAACAAGTATTCGTTAAATTCCTCTGATCTACCAGGCCCTGTGAAACAATCCCTGCCCTTAAAGGGAGCATTCTCAGAAATTATTCAGGGACATGCCATGTAAATGGTAAGGCCATTTAAAAATTACAAAATAATTTCCAGGATTTCAGAGTACTAACATATGGGGGGAATCAGCAAAAATCTTATGGTAAAGTTTGCATGAGAGCTGAGTCTTGAATGAAGCTAGGGATTTTAAGAGGCAGAGGTGAGGAGAGAGTGTCCATAAAGCAGAATGCCCGTGGAAGGCCTGGATTAGGAGGTGAAATGTCATGTAGGTGGAAGAAGGAGCAGGCAAACCTGTTTGCTTAGAACAAAGTGGGTAGGGAGGGTAATGCAAAATTAGTCTGCAAAGATGGGTTGGAGGCAGATTGTGAAGGGTTTAAACATCATGTACAGTGTTATACTCCATGTTTATCTGGGTTAGGAACTTACCTCCTCAAGGGGCTTCGGACGTCTCCGGCTCCAGCTGCACTGGAGAAATGACTCCACAGAACACCCCAAGATACTTTCAGAGTATACTCTTTTATTGTTACATCTCTGACTACTAGCGTGGCTCTCGCGGCTAACGCGGCTCTGCCCCTCCTTTCGGGTACCTCCTTCTTATCCTCTCCCTGTCCACCTTTTTCACGAGCCCTTCCCGCAGTAAGCCAATCATGTCCTGCCCTGAAAGCAAAGAGGATTCGTGCTTATTCAACATGTCATGAGCCGTTGCACGTGAGTAACTTAACTCACCTGCGCATCAGCTTAGTTACCACGTCTGCTCATTTATTTTGACATGCGCAGATCCACCTTAATACTCCCAGGCAATCATGTGCACTCCCGCAGGTAAGGACAGAGTCATCTTACAAATGACCCTTACAGTACAGGAGTTTGTATTTTATCTTCAAGGTAAGAGAGTAAAAAGAGGAATATTAGTTTGGCAACTTTGTGGAAGATAGGCCAGAGAGAGGAGACTTGGGAGACAGAGACATTATTGTGATAGTCCAGGCAATAGAGAATGGTGCCCAGAACTAGTGTGGAGGGCTGTCTGAGGAGAGGGAAGGGGGCACATTGGAGAGCCTTTGTAGAGCTAGAATTGACAAGAAGAAACTGAATGAATATATCAGAAGGATTATCTAAATGATTCTTAGGGGCTCATGGAGAAAATGGACAAGGATCTCACAAGATGAAGTGTGGATGGGCTTCATTATGTACGGGAAGAGGGAATAACTGGGCCCTCACTGCTGTAATTCTTTTACACTTTCCTAATTAACTACTATCTCATTCATCATAGGTGCTCTTCCAAATCTTTTCATCCCTTCTCAAACCTCCCATAGCTTCCCTATTCCACACCCTCTCAGCTGAAAACTTTGTCTCATATTTCACTGAAAAATTGAGGCCATTCTCTGAAAACTCCCTCTTCTCCACTCTTTCTCATCTCATATCACTCAGGTGCTTTCTACCACTATCTTTACCTGTCTTAGGTAATGAGGTGGCACTTCTTGCCAAGACAGTCTTCTCTCTGCATTCAAAAATAATATTATTCCACTCTGCCATCTTTAGCAGGTTGCCCTCACCCCCAACCCCACCATCATTCTCACTCTTTCACCTATCTTGAGTCTCTCCCCGTCTACTAGCTGCTTCTCTATGGCCTACAAATATATCCTTGTTTCTCCCTTTCTCACTTAATCCACTCATACCCACTAGATATCATCGCGTTTCTTGCCTCCTTTTTGTGGCTAAACTTCTTGAGAGTTGCAAAGTTCGGAAGTTTTTGAGGGGGGCCATTAAAGAGGGCCAGATCCCCAACCACAGATAGTGGTTGTATAATAGCCTTCATTTAAACTTCCAGAGTGAGTGGAAGGAGATCATAGAATCCTAGATTTAGAGCTGGAAATCACTAACATCAAAATTTTCTTCTTTCGTTCATATTACTCAAAATGTACTTTGAGAAATTATGTTTTAGAAAATTAGAGTCTTTTCAATATTCCTTTTTTTATTTGGATTAGATTTGACCTATAAGAAAATTCCTTTTATTATTCTTTTTTCTGGATGAATAAAACTTCTTTGATGAAGGGTCATTGTCAAAAAACAGGGGACATATTAAGGAAAAAATAACTTTTGCTGCAGTATTTTTAAAAATAATCATATAAGTACAGACCATTTCTTTATCTTAAATGAACCTAAAATGTTTCAGAAACTGAAAAAAAGGATAGAAGATGTTACTATTTATTAAATAAAGCATGGTCCCTCGGAGTGATCTTTGGTACATAGCAGGCCTGTCAGCTTGATTTTCATGGCATAGTATTCCCCTGTTAGGCAGAAAGCTAATTGCTTCATCTCAAAATTTGTTCAGTTGTGAAAGATAAATTGAGCAAAGGTCCAGGTTGGCACACTGGATTTAGTACTCAGTTTTGAGCCAGGAAGACCTAGGTTTAGTCCTGGTTTCTGCCATTTAGAAGTTGTATGTGCATCAATAAATTTATTTCATCTCTCTGAGCTTTGGTTTCCTTAACTGGACAGTAGGGCAGAAAATATTACCTCTACTATGTAACCCACAGTCTCTGTGGGGCTAACATAAAATAAGGTATGTTAAGTGTTTTCCAAACTTTAAAATGTTATACAGTTGTCAGTTATTATTTAGTTAGAATACTTCCTATGAACATTTCCTTGCAGATTTAGGGTTTTTCCTCATATCTATAGATATGAGGGCATGGGCTGAAAACAAATTTGGAAATTTTTACTTCAACTCTACCCTCTTATTAAAGTGTCCATTGGATTTCCGTTAGGTAAGATGTCAATGATGGTAAAAAGCAATTGAAGGGAAACAGAACTGAGTATTTCTAAGCTACAGTTGTCTGGCTTCAGTTAATTTTTATCAAGTTATGTCTACAGGAAGCGCCATGCTGGCAGATACTGACAGGGTTAAAAGTGCACTCTTCATCTGGTAAATATTTCAGATTTATTGTTTTATCATCAACTCATGGGTCGCCTACAAATATTATGACGTGAATTAGCCTGCTGCATGTTTTTCCTGTCATCTGTTATAGAGTATAGATAATACACCGAATGATGAGTTTAATGGGAATTTTCCCTTTCTCTTGAAACATTTACTGAAATTTGTGTTATAATTTCTATTCAAAAACAGAAAATTAACTCTGTACTGTTATTTTTCTGACTTATTGCCAAATTGATTAGTTTATTTCAAGATTTTTTGTTAAAGAATAAGCCGCCAATAAATAGTAAACATTTATTAAGTGCCTACTGTGTGTCAGGCACTATGCTAAGCACTGGAGATACAAAAAGAGGTAAAAGGCAGTCCTTGCCCTCAAGGGGTTTACAGTCTAATGGGGGAGGCAGCAAGCAAACAAGTATGTACAGACATGCTCTACACAGGATAAATAGGGAGTAATTAAAAGTGGTGTCGCCCTTGACAGTAATAGAGAAGTTGGGGGCAGGGAGAGGGGTTAGAGGGAAGGATAATGAGTTCAGCTTTGGGCATGTTGAGTTTAAGGTGTCTACTGGACATCCAGTTTGAGATGTCTGAAAGAGAGTTGGAGATGCGAGGTTGGAGGTTAGCAGAGAGGTTAGGGAAGGATGGGCAGATTTGAGAATCATCAGCATAGAGATCATTACATCCATGGGAACTGATGAGATCACCAAGTAAAGTAGTATAGAGGGAGAAGAGAAGAGGCCCAGGACAGAGCCCTGTGGGACACCTACTGTTAGAGATCTGTCATCACCATCATCACTCACTGTCACACAATGTCATTTTTCCCATCTGCAAAATTCAGGAACTTATGAATCTAACCCATTTGTTTTCACTTCCACCCTTTCCTGTCTCCTAAAGGGCTCTTACACTGTTCCCTTTGGTCAAGCTTTCATGCTGTGGTTATAGTCTTCTTTTCTACTTGTTACACATAACATCTGTTGAAATGTTTAGGTTGGAGAAATCGCCTGGAGATGCTTCCTTATATGAGCTACGAGACATAAAGGGTGCAGAGAGATCCTACACTCTTCACTCTTGCTTCTGGTAAAGAGCTGTGAAACCTCCAGTGTCTGATTTTGATTTTATTTGAGTCAGTCAGTCAGTAAGCATGTATATATAGTGTGCCTGCTGTGTATCGGGCACTGTGGTAAGTGCTAGACTGGTGCTAGGGACAGTCCTTATTCCCAAGGATCTCGCAGTCTAACAGGAGAAACAACATAAAAACAACTGTGGACAAGACTTTGAATTCAGAGGAATAGGTTAAGAAGTGGTGATGATTTGTACCACTTACTTGGAGTTCACACTCTGCAGGGTCCATTGATAGAAGGCCATGCACTAGAATAAGTAGTGTTCATTTTCCATGCACTAGAGGAAGCGTCATCTTTCCCACTAGAGCCAGTGTGGTCTGGGGGAAAGAACATGGGACTAGAGGAGTGGATCAGATGGTCTGCATTCAAGGACTTCATCTCTGTGACCTTTGAGAGGCCTCAGCTTCCTGATCTGTAAAATGAGACTGTTGAAGTAGAGGACCTTCAAAGGCCCTTCCAGCTCTTAATACAATGAGATTATATTCACCTTTGTATCTTCTACACACCAGGGAGTTCTGTGCCTTAGACATACTAAGATCTTGGTGTTTGATGAATGAATAAACAAACTGAGTCAGGAGACCTGTAATCTCTTAGACCTGTCCTTGACTAACTTCTTGACTGTTTCAGATATTATTTAGGATTAGGGAGTGGTCCCCTCAACCCCCCCCCACACACAAAAAAGTTAAGTTACTGCTGAAAAACAAATTTTTTTTTACACTGTATAGTAAATTGATGTTATTCAGCATACCTAAATGTAATTCTCTTA